GATTAAATGAAAAGGAATCTGCCATCAAGAATAAAAAAACCAGGCAAACATGATAAATAAGACACTTGGATAGATCTGTATGTAAAGGGTAGTTATTTCTGTGACTCATTAAAAAGCTTCTTTTTATTGCTTGCATTCACTGTTTATGCAGGAATAATTGAATCTAAACAAGACTTTGCTAGCAAAAACAGTTGTAGCTATCTCACATTTTCTGTTTAACTCTCTTTTCCCTGCTGTTTATGCTAATTTGCACAGGGGATGGAACAGTTGGAGCACTCTAAATCCTTCTTTTGTACTTCTTTTAACTTTGATGAGCAAAATGGATATGCTAATCCCTTCTGCAGACACATGATTTCCTTCCTTTCTCCTGCTCTCTGAGGTATTTGTTTTTCTGTTATCCAGCCTTTGTTCCCTAGTCCTAGCAAGCTTCATACGATGCTCTCCTTTTCCCAGGGCCCTAGGGTGAACAAAATTCCACAATCCAGCATTTCATGAAATGCAAGTGATACTGAGACAGGCAAGGGATCTATCAAAGCAGATTCCTACCTCTCCATCCTCTTCCTATGCCTACAGAACAAACAAACAAACAAACAAACAAAAGAATGAAGAGTGTTCAGTACTGCAGAAGAAATCAGTCTAAAATACTGGCCTGAATTTTAGCCCTGAAACTGATCGTATTATCTTCAACAATTCCAGAATTTCACATCGTGCTTTTCATTTGTTTGGTATAATTCTGACCACATATTTAAGACTGGAAAATGAATGATATGTAATGATGCAGGAAATAATAAAGTCATCAAAAACAAGGTGAGAAAAGCTTTTATTTGGACATGAAGCAGACACACTGGTACATCATGTAACATCTGTGAAAATGTTGGAGGATTTTAATATTAAATGACTGGGAGAAGTAGGATGTCAAAGATGTTTGATCCAGTGTTCCTTGATATGCACTGTAGTAAAATTCTTCATTTAATGGGCCTAATCTGGAATACTAAATGCTACTTTTATTTAGAAAACCAAAACCAATCATTTGAATTAGGTAAAGGTACATACGTGTAGGTAAAAGGATATTGTTTGAAAAGTAATTTTAAATCCTAAAATATTTTTTTTTAAAATTCACAATAATACATGTCTTTCCAAAGAATTTAGTGTCTGTAGAAGGAGTTACATCTACTTTGCAGTTACTTGTCTACAGTAAACTCAAAGAAAACAAACATTCATTTGCTTCCTCATACTAACGTTAACAAGCTCATGAGTCATAGCATATTTTGAGAAATGAATATTCATGGACTTCCCACTTCTGACCAAAACACAATTGTCTCTGTCACACAATATGAGTGACCCAATTTTGTTCATCTGACAGATGCTTTTCTGGTCACAGAATATGAAAAATTTGGAGGAAACTGAATGTGACATTTTAAGAGACTGCATAACCCAACAGTTGAACTTACTGTCAGCATCACAGGAGCACTCATGTATTACCTCCCCCCTTATGTAGGACTGCTCCCTGGCCCAGGAGAATGCGATCTTTTATTTTGTTACTATTGTTCTAGATAAGAATACATCAACATGTTAACTTAGTTTGCTTTATTACTCTTACACTATAGCTTCAGACCAGGAGACTCTTTTAGCCAGGTGCCAAGGTGAAATAACAAAATGAACAAGTTATTTTGGGATTCTCCTGTCATTCCGTTCAATGCTGGATATATCTTGATTTTCTTGTTAAAAATCAGTACTAGAATTTTCCAGAGCTGACACAGTAGACTGAAGACCTCTGCTTCTGTTCAGACTGGCAGGCCAAGGAGCTGACAAGAGGGAAAGTTGGTACATTACCAAAGCTCTTTCTGAGATTCAGACAGGATTTTTCATTTTATGGCAAAGATAGCATTTTTTCCACACTTTTTTTTTCTTATCATAAGTTCCTGGGAATGAATCTGTGAGGACTGAAAGAAAAGAAAGCAAAGAAAAAATTGTAACGAGTGAATGCTGACAGTCTGAATCAAAGGCTCAGTGCTTTATAATCAAAGCTTTGGAAAAACAAGAATAGGACGACCCCGAGGCTTTGGCACTGAGTTCAAGAACACACTTAGGAGTCATTGCACCTCCAAGAACTGGGAGAACTGAAACGGAAACAAAGCCCTCTCAAAAAAACAGGGGAATAAATTAATTCATTTACTGCTGCCAGAAATTATGCAGTGGGAATACATTCTTCCTAGGAATGTGTTAGGCAATGGTCACAGCTGGGTATACTTCCAGTTTAAGCAGTGCCCCAAAAACCACTGAATGGGATGGAACTCTCTATTAACTTCAGTGAGCTTTTAATCAAGCCCAACTAAGCCAAACACCAAGATTTAAAGACAGCTGAGGAAGTTCACAAGACAGTAACTTAGACTGCACAAGGCCAGAGGATCTGGAAAAAACCCAAGTGTCAGTCAAGGGACTAATTAGAGGACATGAAAAGATCACTCCCAAGTCTCAGGAACTTCATTATCTTCTGTGATAACAGGACTCAGAAAATGCAAGCAGTGATCTGAATCTGTTTCTAACTCAAGTGCAAATTTTCTGTGAGCTTCATGAAAAGCTTAGGGTTTTGCTCAGCAAAGCCACAAGACATCTAAATAGTATTTTTTTTCTGTTATCTTTTTTTTTTTTTTTTTTTTTTTTTTTGGGTCTCTTGGGTTTCTAGCTGGTCTAGGATTGCTAGCGTTAGGACTTTTGTCATCCAAGCTCAAACAAATTGCCAAACATTAATTTTGGCATCAACTAAGGCATGTCCCCTACAGATACACCACTCAATCTTCACATTCTTGTTCTTTAAAGCATAAACCAAAACAAACAAAACCGTCACTTATTTGTGTGCTTAGCAAACTATCATTCTCATAAGCTTGTAAAATTCTTTATATAAAATGTACTTTTTCAGATAAGTTTTCCTAGCTCCAACAAAAAATAGAAATACAATATTTGTAAGTTAACATTTGCCTTCAATTAATTTTACTTGCTTAGCATTTCTGGAAAACAAGGCCAGCAAAGCATATTGTATTCTGACAGGAATACAGTATACCACTAAATCAAAGTTAAGATCCAGACACAAAGTGGTTTGAACTTCATCAGTCTTATAAAACAAAAAAAGCAAACCTACAGACCAAAAGATACAAAGGTTTCAGGCCCTAGGTCTCAGCATGCCTAAATCTACTTAGTTGTGTAAGAATGAAGATAAACATTAATAATTATATTAATAACTTGTTACAGGTAAGAATTTTTCCCTCAATAAAATATAAAATTGGTAATAAGGAGGTCTTTTGCACAAGTGAAAGGAATGAATACTGGACCTGCCTGGAGAGAATATGTTTTGTAAATGAAGGATACACATTGGAAGTGAGGATTTAGCAGAATAAACCTTAAATTACCAAGCCAGCAGAAAATACTATACTGAACAGGGAAATGATGTTAATTACTTGCAAATGGAGCAGCATAATAATTATTAGTAGCACTAAGGAGGTTAACTGACAAATTTTTGCTGCAGCAGGTACTGATGTTTGCTTTGTTATGAGGAAGGAGCATACAGAGGCATTGCAAGCAACTAGATCACTAAATTAAGGAGTAAACTGAGGCTACTGATCTGAAGAAAGAGAAGAGCAACAAGAAGGACACAACAGTGTGGTGTTTTCACTCAATGCCCTGATTCTTCATGGAAGAAGATGCTTTTGCAACAGGAAAGACAGTGAAAAAAGAAATTAAAAATACCTGACTTAATGATTCAAGGCCTCTATTTTCATAGAATCAATTCATGCTAAACCTTCCTAAGAAAGAAGTCTGTCACCCAAGAGTGGTCATATTTCTAAAAGCCACTGCAGACTTCACTTCATTGACAAAATAGCACATGATACCTTGAGCTATCTGGTATGTCCCACAACACCCTAACCTCTACTATCTGCTAACAGAGCTATTACTCTTCTACCCTTTGACCTATTGGCCAAACGTCTTGGATTCTTGCCACAAGGCACGTGGCTTAAAATTCTTGATGTGCTTTTAGTACCTCATGCAAATTTTGTCCACTAGAATGGCCTTATTGAAAAAAAAAATTGCTGTGGAAGTTAATGTAAATCAAAGGTAATAAATTTTCCTTAGCACATTGGAGCCTTATACATGGACCTTACATCCTTTCAGAGATACAGGAGTGGTTCTGTTGTTAATATTGGATGTTGGCAGTATTAGAAGGCATATTTCATTGAAGAGTTGGAAAAATGATGAAAATATTCAGAGGAATAGGTGCATGTTGTACAAATATTGATAATATAAAAGTACAGAATTAAGTAGGAACTGATAATAAAGAAAACACAATCAATTAGGAAAAGACATAGCTAGACATGTTAATATAGTGAAACTTTTTTTCTGGTGTAATTGAAGTATATGCCCATACTAGAGTGTATCATTTGTGCCCCCCATTTGCAGCGTGTGATAGAGGTTCATATCTATTAAGAAAGCACCACTTCCTCTTAGAAGAAAAACACTGGAAATAGTGTATTCTATAAGCATTGCTTCATAAGTACTTACAGAAACATAAAGGTGGGGGGAAAGTACCTCCTTACTATCAAATATAGTAAGTCACAAAATAGAGATGTTACATATAGAGAAAATATTAATATATAACCCAATTTTCTTAAGCCTTGATTTTGGACACTGACAAATTTGTATTTGTAGGTTATCAGGTAATACAAAGAAGTTGCTTCCAGAGTACAACTAAGAGTCTTGTTGCTATATTGGTAGGAGCAGCAAGAAATTTGAGGGGAAGGGCTAAAAAAATGTTATGTGAAATAAATGTAATTTCCTTACAACATATCTTTGTTTGACCTTCCAAAAATTCAGTTCAGCAAAATCATATCTTAAAGGTGTTTGAAGTGTGAGAAACTTCCTGGGCTCAGGTCTTCAGCTGAGGGTAGAAGCTGTACTACCTCCCACAGCCGCAGAATGCCACTGCCATTGGTCAGGGTCTAATAGCACTGGCTCTGCATTCTGAGTAGCTCCATCCCATTTGAGACAGTGGAAGCTAAAGGTAAGTTTTGGCACTTCTCTCTTAGCTGAATTTTTATCGCTGGAATACTAGTATGTGTTTTATTTTATCATGCTTAATACCGATTCAAAGCTCACAGATTGTGGAGACTATTTATTTTTCCCTGGTTATGTCTTAGTTCCTTCCTGTGAGAGGTGTACATAATCTTCATCAAAATATTTGATCTTACAGCTACTGCAGATGCCAATATTTCTACAGTGCATTCCAATATATTACATGAAAGGGAAATAAAGACATGCAAACCCTGCAAATTAGTGCAGATACTGTAGCCATAGGTAAACATTTTTTTTTCCATAGATATTTGCTGGTTTGTTCTCTATATATGCAAAAACTCATGCTTATCAAGCCTTATACCCTTTAAAAAATCTTTTCTTTTTAAGCGTTGTGACATGCAAACAATTATGCATATTGAACAATTTTTTATTTAAGAATTGTTTATTCAGAGGAAAAATTACACCGTATATGTTAGTACTACATTTTGGGTTGATAGATAACACCCTCTATAGCTGAATCATCTGAGATAAATGACATGGAAAGGAAAAGCAAGACCAAAACCAATTCTGTCAAAAATAGGCAGCAGAAAACATAAAGACCAAGAAAACCCGCTAATTCTAGCATACTTGCTTATTTCAGAGATTGATTGCATTTCTATTTTATTTTACTTTATTTTTTTAATAAAGCAGAATACTTTTAGTAATATTGGAAGCTAATAGTGAAAGGTGAAATTCATCTAAGCTTTCTCAAAGAGAAGAGCCAGTGACTCTAGCTTCTTCCAGCAGCAGCTGAACTCTTTCTGAATAAAGAAAATGAGAGAAAAATGAACGCCTTGTGTTACTGACTATCCCCAGAGGAATTTCATATCCTCATGCCTAAACCAACTTTATAAAGACCTCTTTTCATGAAGCTAAAATTCAGCTTGTTGCCCAGTACATATATTAAAAAAAAAGTCTCATGTATTTCTTGTACTTTATTATAAGTCGCTACAATTTTGAAATTAAATATTTAAGAGTGTGTATCACATAAGGAATACAGTTTATTAGACTTATGCATTACTCATTATCACTGGGCTTTTGGTGAAATTAATGTGAGCTGTAGATAAATAAAGATATAAGTAAAGAAGGCTGAATAGAGCCTTGTGTCAGGCACCTTATATGATAATAGTGAATGCATAATTTACAATGAAAAGGGAATGTATACACACTACTTCTCAAGCCTAGCATGAATTTTCTACTATTTTACAAAATTCTGGAAGTTTAAATAGGTGATAACTCAATTTTACAGAACTTTAAATGGGTGATAATTCAGTTTTACAATTCTATTTTCCAAGGAGAACAGGTGAATACACCACACCACAATTTCTCACTACTTTAAAAATGGTTTTGAATGAATGAAGGAATTCAGAGTACTGGCACTGCTGTCCACAGGGCAATGGAGAACACATATTAATTTTTATTTTGCTCCCAAGACCTTTGTGAAAGTATGGTCCAGATGTGCCACATCAAGTAAAATTATGTTCTGACAAAAAAACCAATGGGTGAAAAGTGTTTTGATTATGCTTATCCAGAGATGACAGAGTTTCTAATGTTTTCTAACAGATTGGTGGCTTTGTTTGTTTCTTTGATTCTGTTTAGTGTTTTTTATGATGGAGGAGAGATATAATATTACATTGTTATACATTCCAAAAGATTATTTATTGTGATAGAGATAAGTAATATAATGATTTAGCTTTTCTCTACTTTCTCAAAAGTTCATATCTAATTGCAATGAAAATAGGTGAAGTTAGATGAAAGGGTAAAAATATTATTCCCATTCTTTTTTACGCCAATAAAATTGCATAGGTCTTTTCTAAATTATATGACTATGAGTATGGCCCAAGCAGTATGAAGTATTCACAGCTCCAGGGACTCGTCATGAAGAAAACCAGATTAAACCACTGAGCCACGACAAATAAATATGAATTATTCATCAGAAGTATTGTGGGTTTTATATACAAGTACTGTATTTGTGACATTAAATTGTCATAGATTCCTTGTCAACACCGGAGTTCCTACCATCTGTCCATTTTCTTCTCTTTCAGAAAACAAAATGCAGACCTTTGTAAATGTTTTTCTGGGATTTTTTATCTTTGAGTCTGTTGGAGCTGCCCCTATCAGTGATACCATAATTTATGATTCTGAGTTCTATGACATACCACTTGGAGAGCTGCCTCACCCATTTGCCTATGATGAAAACAAGCAGTCTGACCAAGTAGAGGTAATTAGAACTTAATTTATTCTGTCTTTCCAAAATGCATAAATGCAGTAGTTACTGATCAGTTTTTCTTCACCATGAAAATACTTATGTGACAAATCTACTCATGTGGTTTCTGTTGCCTTTGCAATTCATTCACTTTTTCCCTAACCTACAAACACAGCCAAAATATATTTTAATTGTTTTGGGTTTTATTTGTGGTAATCTGTAAGAGTAGGTGAAAGGTACCATGCTTTCCTCAGGTCTCCATGGAATTACACAAATTCTGTTGGTTATCGTCATTGTAATTTACCTGTCTGGGTGATGCACAGAGGCAGTTGAGACAGAATTTCCAGCATTTCACATTAAATGAGATTGTAAAATGCTGTTTCCTTTGGTTTATGTTCACTACAAGTGTGTCAGGCTATAAATGCTAACGTTTTCTCTTGCTGTTAGGAAAGTGGCAGAAGGAAGAAAAAAGAATTGAATTGAATTTGAATTTAAACACAGGAAAGTAAGAAAAATTATTGAGAAAAACCTGTTGAAATTCTGATACAGTAAGAGCGGGTAAGATATGTCACCTGTAGAAGCAAGGGACTCCACTTGCTGGCTTAAATGCTTCCTTCCTCTTCTACAATCCTTTATTTCTTTACAGTTACTAAAAGGCTATTTTAATTTTTTTCTCATCCTGCTGATTAGACATTAGCACAACTTCCCTGAAGGTAATATAAGCACTCTCTAATTCAGGATTGTGTGTGATAGAGGTTGAGTGAAAAATATAACATTTTAATAATATGGTATTTTCATTTTTATACATAATATTTTAGTGCTTTTTCACATAACAATGCATAATTCATGAAAATACAATCCTTTGAAAGATTCATGATTACAGCAGGAGGGACAGGAGCTACTCTTTCATCAATGTGAGAGAGAAATTGGATAGCAGCTTTGAAATCAAAGGATAGAGACAATTTAAGAATTACTTATTCAAAACTTATTCTTCTGTATTTCAAAACATAAGAACTGAAGAGATAAAAATGATCTTAAAGTTAGCACTAAGATCAGAACCTTATAATTTGTAGAAATAAATTTTCAGTCTAAGAGGGATTGAGAAGAATTTTGCTGTAAAGAACTTACCTTGCCTTTGGCCTGTTTCCCTTGTGCCACTCTTGTGCTCTACTTGATTCTGTTTGAGCTCACTTTCCTGATAAAATCATTAGCAATTTTAGATGCTGTGCTCTATTTCACATTGATTAATAAACCACGGTTTCTGTCTCTTTGCTCTTAGAAATGAAGCCTTTATCATTCTTCCAGAAACTACTTCCTTCCCAGAAATGGGAGAAGTTATTTTGAATGTGGCTCATCACTGAGTTTTTCTCATTCAAACAACAGATTTCTTAGTAATGCGTTTAATGGTAGGTGGGATTCTCCTGTGCTGTGCTCTCTGTGAGGTCCTATAACACCAAAACATGGGGTGGCCCTTTCCAAGTTTCTGAGTGAAGGATAGACATATAGCAAGGCTTCAATGTTCTTTTCCAGCCAAAAGGAAATTCAGGGTGACTGATGTTGCATGCAGCAAGGAAAGATACGAGATCCCAACACGGATTGGTTTTTTTTTAGAAGGCATAGAATAGGCAGAGTCAGGGTAAACTGGTAAGCTTCTTTTCCAGAGCAGGATTATCTTCTATTACTGAGCTCTTCAGAGAGCCTTTTTAAAATTCATCAGGTGAAGTTTGTCCAACAGAGCAGTTGAACAGAGTTTTGTTTTGCATATGGATGGACCTCCCTGTGAGAGCCTTTTTTTCGCAGATGTTTAGCCAAAATCTTTTTTTTTTTGCTTACATTCCTAATACCGCGTACCACCCAAGAGAATCCTAAGCATTCATAGTTCCCCATATCCCAGGAGATATGAGTGGTCAGTGCTGTAGAAATCAAGCAAATTTTATAGACATGTCAGTGTACTATTTGATAGGGCATGTCAGTCTTGCAAATTATATTTTAAACACAGATATTACTGATGTCACCCAAGTTTTAAGCAGAATACATTTGATTTCTTGATTGTGGTTATGAATTTACTGCTTAAAATCTTGTTATCATAATGATATGAACAACACAAGTTGATTTATGTTTAAAATTCAATATTTATTCAAGGTCGCAGGTTAGTTTTTATTATGCATAGTTTGCATGATGAGCAATACCACAGAGACCCAGACAAACAGCAGGCCTTCAACAGATCTAGCCTGTGTGAAGTAACTCTTTAAGACTTGAATTTCCATTTGGAGAGCTCTGAATCATGTATTCAGGCTTTTGAAACAGTGGAGAAAAACTTAAGCATTTTCTGTTGTTGTTTCTTGAATTTAAGATTTGAAAATTCAGTTATGTGCAAATAGAAGCCATTCTGTTTAATCCATTTTTAGACTCATTGGCAAAAATGCAAACTTTAGCAAGGTTGTGTATTCAACTGATTAGCAGAAGGTCCAGGAAACTGGCAAGTTCTAGTACTTCAGATGTATCCAGATGCTACTGCTGTTAATTTCAACGTGAATTGAAGAAGAAATTAACCTGTGCACCTCAAGGAGTTAAACTAAAGCACCTGTGTCAGCATGTCCTTTTCTAGACTATTAGGTACTGTAATCACCCAGTTGATGTGTAATCATCAAAGTGTGGAAAGACCTGAAGATAATTAGAAAGGGATTCTTTCCACTCATTCTATCTGGTTAAAATTAGGCTTGGCATCCCAATACCATGCTCCAAGACAAGTATGACTCATTCTCTTGGGATATCTGTTGAGGTGGGTTGATCTTAGCTGGCTACCAAGGTGATCATCCAAATGCTTTCTCACTCCCCCTTCTCAGACAGACAGGGAAAGAAATTAAGGTTAAAAACTTGTGAGTTGATATATAGGCAGTTTAATGAAGAAAAACAAAGGTTGTGTGCAGAAGCAAAGGGAAACAACAGATTTATTCTCTACTTCCCGTCAGCAGGTGAGGGCCAAACACTTCCAGGGAAGTAGGACTTGAGTACGTGTAGCAGGTGCTCCTGACAACAAACACCTTAATAATAAGGGCCACTCCCAACCCTCACTGCCTCCTTTCTCTCAGCTCTTTTTGCTGACCAGATGCCATATCGAATATCCCTTTGCTCAGCTTGGGTCACCTGTCCTGGTTCTATCCCCTCCTGAGATCGTGACCACCCCTGCCCTACTGGTGAGAGGGGAATGTTGGAGAGATAGCCTTAGTGCTGTGCCAGCACTGCTCAGCTGAGCACTGGTGTATTATCAACACCTTTTCAGCTGAAAAGACAAAGCACAGCACTGAGGAATACCATGGGGAAAGTTTATTCCATCCCAGCCGCACCCTATCTTCCTCAAATAACTTTTGATGAACCTTAGTCATCTGTTTCAGCTTAGCATGAGAATTTCATCTTAATACAGTTAAGTAAGAGTGACTGAGTCCAAGTTCATGACTTTGCTAATTCTCATACTCTGGAAGTATTGTTTCTTGTGTAGAGTGTATGTGTGTATATACACACACATTTCATTGTATTGATTGATTGATTGAAAACATTTTTCTGAAAACATTTATAGATAATGGCTCTTGATATTCTTCACTTGAAGTCTATTTTTGTCATAGATTCTGGAATAATCTTAAGTTGGGAAAGATTGTGTAATGTATACGTGGAATACTTTTATTTCATGCAAATATTTCCATGGGGAAAGTAATTTTAGATGTGAATTACTTGTGAGAATTGCATTGAATCCTCAATCAAAGCCATGTATTGTCACATATTAGGTGACATTATAGATTATAAAATCTATGGTGTCCAAGATCCCAGGTTAGTGAGACACAGAAGACCTGGCTAATGCTTTGCATCCAAATGGAAATTATTACAGGAAAAATTTTAAGTAATATACCACTCAGAAATAAAATGTGCATAGAGACATTAAGATAGCAGTATCAAGTCTTTCACAGATAATGGCTGAAAAAAGGCAGTGTAAAAGAAAAGCCTATTATGAAGGAAAGAATTCCAAGGTCCTCAAGGAGAAAGATACAGCAAAGAAATGTCACTGTAAGTGTACAAGCTTTGTGTTGGATTTATCTTCTGAAACAGACAGTAACAGTATAAACATGAGCTGATGTATTTCCCCTTTTCTTTACAGTTCATTAGTGTTTTGAATTAATATTTATATCATGATAGGGTCCAGAGGCCACAGTCAAGACTGGGTCTCCCAACTGCTCAGAAAGCATATAAAAAGAGAGATTTCCTTCTTTAAAATTAATAGAATCAAGCCAGACTCTCAAAGGAATTATTGTGTGAGCTTCTCACTTTTTCCCTCTTTGAAACTACAACTTTGTTTGGAAAATGTGTGAGAAAAACAAATTATGGAGAGAGATTCTTATGTACATCAGCTACTAATGCCTAATAAAATGGCACTGCAATTTTATCACAGTGTCTGCTAAATATAATCAGTCACTTTTTCTTTAGGTAGGAAAAACTAAGTTAGGAAAATAAGAAGCAAAAATCTAGGAGCATCAGAAAAATATTTTCATTGCTAAGATAAGCTATCAGTGAGGCTGAAAATTTAAGGAGCAATTAATTAAGAATGGTTTGCCTAGCACTGAATAAGCAGAAAAGCAAGGGAGGTAAATACAGGTTGGTCTGGGTCTGTTACACAAAAGAGGCGAGCTGTAAAATATGATCCTCAAAATATTCAGAAAGAAACACAGTGAAAGGTTAATATTTGATGCATTTTGATTAGCATTAGTTGATAGCTTGTTGAATTTGAATCAAACCAGCATTAGGTCATTTTGGTGCCTGCACAAAGCTCAGAACTTGAGTTCCACACACACATTTGCTCATGTCTGTGTGCATACACCAAACTGTCTCTCCTGTTGGCATAACACACACCAAGATGAGCCATCCTTGAGCAAGAACTCACTCTTGCCATTCTGCAGGGTTGAGAGAGGCTTACACTGCTGCACCTGTCTTTGTGGTTGGTATCTGATTAAGTAAGAGCCTTCAAA